ATTACACACCACCTGGATGACTTGGTCTTTGTATACTTGGGGTCGTCGCATCATCGGTCGGTTTGAGCACACTCATCACCTGTTGACTCACGGTCCTCCTTGAATTGGCAGCATCAGCCGACTCTTCGCACGGGTCTCATCCCTCTTCAGTATGATCTTCAGGTAGTCTGACGTCAGTACAACTCGATCTTTGCCTGCATTGGCGTATAGCGCGTCTTGTACCTTGGACCACCACGTTATCAGTTGAATCGTCCGGCCCGACATTCGGGCTGTATTCCATTCGGGTTGTACGTGATGTCTCCATTCGGGACACACTCCCGCAATTCAGGATGTCCGGCGGCCAGGGACCCCGGGGCTCCATATCTCCTCCCTCAATCTTTACCGATTCATCTTGTCAAGTCGTTCGTAAGGTTTCCTATCCGGGACACACTCCCTCAATTCAGGATGTTCAGCGGCCAGGGACCCCGGGGCTCCATATCTCCTCAAACGTAAGCCCCTCAATCGCTACTGATCCATCCGAAAGTATCGGCCATCCCGAGACACACTCCCACAATTCAGGACGTCCAGCGGCCAGGGATCCCGGGGCTCCATATCGTCTCAAACGTAAGTCCCTCAATCTCTACTGGTCCGTCCGAAAGTATCGGTCATCTTTTCGGGCTCCTCCACGCTTCGCCTTCCTGGAACAACGGTGTTCGGTCATTCGGCTCGGGTGACCGGAAACTGGGATTTACGTTCACGGAGCATCCTCCGTTCACCACCCAAAGAGAATGTCATCACGTTCCATATTCCAACCTCCGGCTCTCAAATCAGGGCAGCTGCGGAGGCCACCTGAATTTCAGGTTGCATCGTCACACCAGTCTACTAAGAATTCACGCAGGATCCGATCATATCTTGTCCTTCTGCCAGTCCTCATATCCGAGAGTTTTTCAACCTCATACTCGTCCGGATCGCGATCTTGAATCCAGTTATCTCCAGGGAGAAGTGCTTCGTCGAAATCTAACCGATCTTGATCCTGCGTCGTAAGACGTATTACCGGCCGATCTGGAAATTCTCTGACAGGCTTGATCTTTGACACATGGACCACGGGGAAGATATTGTATGTGGATCCAGCGATCTCGAGTTTCACCGCATACTCGCCGATCTTCTCGGTCACACGGAAAGGGCCGTGCCACAGATGCACAAGCTTTTTGGCATATCCCTCTCGTCCCCGATCCAAGTATAACCAGACTCGGGATCCGGCCTTGACTTGATGCGGGCGCACTATATCGTTGTGCTGATCCGCCCGATCCGAGATCGCCTCCCGCAAACGCTGGTTCACTTGTTCTCGAGCCTGTTGGTAATGTCTCTGGATCCGATATCGCCATCTTCACGGATCCCGATCGTGTCTTCTTGTATATCCCATCGGGATCACCGCCTCCAGTGTGGATTTCGGATCCCAACCGTGAATCATGTAAAACGGCGTTACTCCGCGGATCCGATCCCGAGCGGTATTGATCGCGAAGGTAAGTCGCTCCGCATACTCGTCCCAATCTTGCTGATCCAGATCTTGGACATACATCTTAAGTGCCCTTGTGGTGGTCTACACCATTCTTTCTGTGGATCCGTTCCCTTGAGGTCTGTATGCCATTGTTGCACGTTGGCGCTGACCCAGGATCATGTTAAACGCGCGAAAGAAATCGGACATAAACCCAGGTTCACGATCATGGCGGATCACCTCGCTGGCACCAAATCGGCGAACCACACATTCCTCATATGATTCTGCCACGGTCTGAGCCGTCCTGGATCCGCTCGCCTTGGCAATCACATATCCGGAGAAGAGATCTTCGAAGATCAACAGCTCAGTATTACCTTTGTAGGATCTGGGCAATGAGGGGATGTGGTCCATGGCGATGATCTGGAATGGATAAGTCGCTTGAAGATTACCCGGCAACTCGCCCTGGATCCGGGGTCGCCCTTTTCCAGTCTCGCAATCGACACCCCCCTCGACATATCTTTGAACACTTCGGTACAGTCCTCTCCAGTGAAAATGATCCCGGATCCGATCGTAAGTACGGCCGATCCCCTGATGTCCACCTTGGAGGCTAGTATGATAACGGTGTAGAACATCTTGATGCAACGTTTCAGGAACACCAGTCGCATCAATTTGTCCCGATCCGCAGCCGATTCCTTTGTAGTGGGACAATAGAAAAGGAGATCGTGCTGATCCACTTCATAATTCATAGCGATGGATCCGCAGGATCTGGCCTCTTCCTGTGTCAGATCGCGTATTTCGCCAACCAGATACTTCTTCAAATTGTGGATCCACGCCTCCTCGTCATGTGGCGAAGCGGAATCCGTGAAAATCTTGTGATCGCGGTTCC